TGATGGAGAATGTGTTGTATTTGGTTCTATATAGCACCAAAATGGGTTCTGCTATTGTGATATTGTCAAGCTTGTAACCCTTTTTGGTGTCACATAGAACCCTTTTCAAAAAGGTTCTATTTAGAATCATTTATAACACATTCTTCATTAATCTGAAGAACCATTTCACCATGCAGAGAACCATTTAATCATCAGTGTTTTGTTTATGACGTGTTCTGTTTGATGAAAATGATCCGAATTATTTAGCTTAATGCAGTTTAATAGCGTTTAGCACGAGGTTACTGTGTGTGTGTGTGTGTGCGTGTGCGTGTGTGTGTGTGTGTGGTGTGTAACTTTAGCACAGACAGTGTGCAGTGAGAAGAAGAGCGAGGGGTGAGGGGAAGACGAGAAATGGGGAGAAAACAGATGAAAGGAGAGCGGAGGAGTGGAAAAAAAGCAGTTGTGAGATGTGGCCATATTGCAGCGCTGGATCAGAGCAGATACACACTTCATCATTTCTGACTGAGTGGGTTCACACACACACTCACACACACACACCCCACACACACATATTCAGTCTCTGTGAGGTTCTCAGACTGACTGAACATCTAAGCAGGGTTTACAGGCTGGGTTGCCAGATTTCAGCCCTTGTTGTAATTTTTTTATGGCATCTTTTTGGTCTTTTTTGCATTTGATTTTAAAGGGAACCCTGACTGTTAGGACTTGTGTGCCTTAAAATACTGTAGATGTCCAGTAGTGTTGAAATATAATGTATAAACAAAATGGAAATGTTTTGTTTATTATAAAAAATGCCAAAGTGGCAAAATCCCCCTCCTAGTGGGTCACTATCGCCACACTCTGATGATGTCATATGGTTGCAGTGGAGTCAGTCCTTTAGAAAATAAGGCAAAACAAAAGTCTTTTCTCTTGCAGGTCATGCCAGAGCTAAAGCTGGAAAGGCTGAATGACATATTAGAGGTAAATAAGATCTTTGGCTCGCTGTTAGTCACTCAGTGGTGAAGAGAGAGAGCGAACATTTGATGTCAGTACTAATTGATAGGATTTCAATGATGTCACAATTGAGCTGCCAGCATTTTGAACAGCAACATCAAGTTCATTCAGCAGAGCTGTGGCTGTGTGTAATGAGATCAAGCTACAACTGATCCAGCAAAAGCAGCAAAACATGCTTCTTTAATATTGATTTTATTTGATTTGTTGCTGTAGTGATTAACAAATAAAAGCTGAAATCTAAACGGCTGAGATTTCCCGCTGTGTTACCAGCGCCACGCCCCAAACCGCACAATAGCTCACTAAATAGGGTGTAAAAATAGTGCATATCCCATTAGAAGTGCACTCATTAGTGCAGTAGGTGAAGTACAGAAGTGTGTGGTTTGGGACGTGGCGTTAGATCAGCCAGTGAGACGTGATCAACAGCTGCTCTGCTGTGCTGCTCGTTAGCTGCTCATTAAACACCTCCAAGAGAAAGTTTGAGGGGTTTGTTGATTAAGGAGCTTTTATTGAGGTTAATTAATGCATTTATTGAGGTAAATTGATGCACTGATTGAAGTATATTAATGCTCTATTGAGGTGAGCTGATGTTGGCTTCATATTCGCCAACTCTCATAATTTGTTTTAAGTTTAAGGCGCCTCAGTGTAACTGCAGCACCATTTAAGGTGGCACGGAAAGTTCAGGTGAGAAGCTGGCTAATAAGAAGCTGACTCAGCTTTCAGCTTTTATCTGGAATTTCCTGTAGGCTATACAGATCCAGTCCACCAGTCTAGCTAAACTTCTCCTTGTACCATCTAAAGTGTTATTGCTATGGTATTCCAGGTGGTTGCTAGGTTGTTATGATACCCCAGGTGGTTGCTAGGGGGTTGCTAGGTTGTTGCTGGTGGTCGCTATGATATCCTACATGGTTAATTGGGTGTTTGTGTTGGATTCCTATCATCATGATTTAAGCTAGGTGCACAAAATTTTGCCACCTATTCATTTCTGTGAGAAAAAATCTGCGTTTATAACAACTACAAAAACAATACATCCAATCAAAACGCTGCATACGAACACACCATTCCAGATCAGACCAAACATTCCTAACAGCCACTTTGTGCTTCCACTAACTGGCCACTTTATTAGAAACGCCCACCTTGTGCTTCCACTCACTAGCCGCTTTATTAGGAACACCCACCTTGCGCTTCCACTAACTGGCCGCTTTATTAGAAACACCCACCTTGTGCTTCCACTAAATGGCCACTTTATTACAAACATCTTCCCTGTGCTTCAATTTGGAACGGTGTGGATATCTTGAAAGCTGTGGGATAAGTTAACGTACAAAAATCCAGCAAAGGAAGAAGAAGAAGAAGAAGAAAATGATAAATCAGATAACAATAGTGCTTTGCAGCGTGGCTCACTTGAAACGTGTAAGGAAGCACTCTAGACTTTTAAGGGTTAAATAAGTAAATTGTTGTAGTCAGCCAAGCAGATTTGTGCCTTAATTTCAAAGCGTGTTGGCTGTTTGATGAGTGTGAGTGTGTGTAGGTGTTCTCTCTGTTTTTTTGGCTTTGAAGAAGATCATTTAAGCCAAGATGTGTATTTCTCTGCTGAGGCCGAGCGCCTGCAGACAGTGAGAGTAGTACAGACTGGGTGGGAGGTTAGAGCTGCAAGTTTCATCGCAAATACTTTAGCTCAGACTAAAATACCTCCACTAACGCCGCCGTAATGGACACTCAGCCTGCAGCGCGTGAGCAACTGTGACTGTCACAACACAGTGATGACTGTCACTGAGTGCAGATGTCAGAGTAATGCAGTAAAAACCTTTCAGCTGTCAAACGGCACAGTTCATATAACAGCACTGACAGCACAGACTCTGACACACACACAGGTTTGTTTACAGACCTTATCAGGACGCGAGTTCATACATATAATCCACATCACATTATGGAACACACACCTTGCACTGGACACTTTATTAGAAACACCTACCATGTGCTTCCACTACCTGGCCGCTTTATTAGAAACACTCACCTTGTGCTTCCGCTACCTGGCCACTTTATTAGAAACACTCACCTTGTGCTTCCACTAACTGGCCACTTTATTAGAAACAATGACCTTGTGCTTCCACTAACTGGCCACATTATTAGAAACACCCACCTTGTGCTTCCATTAGCTGGCCACTTTATTAGAAACACTCACCTTGTGCTTCCATTAGCTGGCCGCCTTATTAGAAACACCCACCTTGTGCTTATTAGAAACACCCACCTTGTGCGTCCACTAACTGGCCACTTTATTAGAAACACCCACCTTGTGCTTCCACTACTGGCCACTTTATTAGAAACACCACCTTGTGCTTCCACTACCTGGCCGCTTTATTAGAAACACACACCTTGTGCTTCCACTACCTGGCCGCTTTATTAGAAACACCCACCTTGTGCTTCCACTACCTGGCCCCTTTATTAGAAACACCTACCTTGTGCTTCCATCGCCCTCCCTGTCTCTCTCTCTCACTCTCTCTCTCTCTCTCTCTCTCTCTCTCTCTCTCTCTCTGGTGATTAATTGGTGTTTATGTGGTGTTTAGCATTTTAGACTCTAATGCTTCACTTGCACGAGTCATCAAAGTGTGAGAAAGAATTAACACCCCAGTAAGACAAAATGAATTCAGTGACAGGAGTGGAGGAGTGAGCGTGAGAGAGAGAGAGATTCTAAATATAGCAGAAAGGCTAGCACACTGCTGAGTGTGACTGCTCTGGCCTGTAGGGCGTCTCTGGAGGTGGAGTGACCACAACAAACGACAAAAATATGGACAGTAAGATTTAAAGCGATAGTTCAGCAAGAAATTGAATTCCCCCAGTTCCACCCCATCCTACCCCAAATGTAGCTGATCAGCTAAGACATGTTTGGTGTTTGAAGTTAGATTTTTTAAGCCACTTTAAGCAGCAGATGGTTCTTTGAGTGTTTATTGTCTTTACTGAAGAACCCTTGAACCATCTTTTTAAGAGTGTACTTTAGCTTCTAGTGCAAAACTAAAGAAGCAAACCTCAGACGACCAACTCGTCTTGGCTGATGTTTGGCTAAACTTTCACTTTAATGTCTGGAGCCGGTCCTATAGAGAGCACTTACTGCTCTGTCTCTCAGTGACGGGAAAGAGAGTCTTTACAAGATGCGGGAATGTCTCACAGCACTCCAGCAGAAAACACCAGCGCCCTGCAAGCGTGTGTGTGTGTGTGTGTGTGTGTGTGTGCGGGTGTGTGTGTGTATGCGTGTTTGTGTGTGTGTGTGTGTGTGTGTGTGTGTGTGTGCGTGTGCGGGTGTGTGTGTGTGTGTGTGTGCGGGTGTGTGCTCCTTTTATCTCCTCCTGTTCAGTAAATGGCTTCTTTAATCTGTGGAGTGCTGCTCGGAGAGCCTGATAGTACAAAATAGCAGACACTTATTCTCACACTGTAAAGGTTTCCCAGCCTTTTGAGCGGTGCGGACCGAACCGCAGCGCACTGTGTGTTTGAGGGAGTGGCAGCAGTGCAACACTGTAAAAATGAAATTCAGCTCACCTTAAAAGGACAAGGTAACGTATTACACAGCTTTTCAGAGTCAGAATTACTGGCCAAATTATTTTTGGTACATGCTATCCTCAGCCCACTACCCAATAAATCACAACCAAGTACCAAACATTCCATGGCCTAGTATTGAATGATTCGCGGCCCAGTGCCAAACTATCCATGGCCTAGTATTGAATGATTCATGGGCCAGTATCAAACAATCCATGTCCTGTTACTGCATGAACCACGGGCTGTTACCACACAATCCGTGGCCCAGTACCACACTGCCCATGGGCCAGTGCCAGCTGACCAAAGGCCTAGTACTGAATGATTCATGGCCCGGTACCAAACAATCCAAGGCCTGGTACCACACAATCCACAGGCCAGTACCGACCAAACAAAGGCCTAGTACTGAGTGTATTTAAAATAAACTCCGCCCCCTCTCTCTCCCTCTCTCTCTCGCTCTCTCTCTCTCTCTCTCTCTCTCTGTGCAGATTTGTTTTGTGAGTTTGGACACACACACATCTGACCGGCATGACAGCAGCTGCCTCAAGGTGGGTGGAGCGTCTCCACGGTGATGGAGGCTGGTTGCTATGGTTATGGGGTAATTTGGTGGTAGAATAGTTTTACACCAAATATAGTCAATCAGCCAAGAAATGTTGTGGTGTCTGTTTTTATCTAAGCTAATGTACTTTAGTCCGTGTTTATAGATGACAGTGAGTCACAGTGTCAGAAACCACAGAATCAGGACTATTAAAGATTACTTGAAGGGGAATTCCACCATATTTCTGAATTCCCCCATAATTGAATGAGTGATATGTAATCAGAGAGGTTCAGAGGGGTTTGGTGTGAAATGGTTCAGATGTCTTTACAGTGGTGGTGATAGGAACCAGGGGTCGCCATGACTACAACACAAATATAGACATTTTATTTACTATCCAGAACCACCAGTGAACCTACACGAGTCTTCTGAGTCTATATGGAATGTTGATGATGGAAAATAAGGCTGCTGATTGACTGCATGTGGGGAGGGGGTGGATTTGAGTTTTCTCCAAACTGTTGCTTTAAGATTAAAGTTTTCATGTGAGTTAAATGATCAAGAACATTGCAGTAATATCACAGACTGAGCATCATTAAATCTTTCATTTTATTTTTTCTGTCTCTAAATTCATATTGATTTAATTTAAACCCTTAATATAAAAAGTGCCACATGATTGGCGGCGCTAATCACGAATATTCCAATAGTAATTTGGCCTAAATTAATGAAATGTGTATAAACAGTTCCTGCATGCAGATGAGCACAAATGAATTGTTAGTGATTGTGAGTGAATGTTCTTTATGTTCTGTTTGGTCTGTATGTTCAACATGTTCTATGTGTTCTATATGTTGAGCATGTTCTGTATGTTCTGTTTGGTCTGTGTATTCTATATGTTCTTAAATGTTCTGAGTGTTCTATGTGTTCTGTGTGTTCTGCATGTTCTTTATGTTTTGTTTGGTGTGTATGTTCTATAATTTCTTAAATGTTCTGTATGTTCCATATGTTCTGTGCATTCTGTGTGTTGTGTATGTTGGGTATGTTCTGAATGTTCTGTGTTCTTTATGTTCTGTTTGGTCTGTGTATTCTATATGTTCTTAAATGTTCTATGTGTTCTGTGTGTTGTGCATGTTCTGTATGTTCTGTTTGGTGTTTATGTTCTATATGTTTTAAATGTTCTGTGTGCTCTGTAGAAGTTGGCGTCGGTGTCTCCGGATTTGCCGCGGCTGGTGGAGTGTGTGGGCATGCGGCCTCTCAAAGAGCACGAAATCCTCCTGCTGACCGGCCTGGAGTCACCTGACGTCTGCCAGCATGACCCCGCCTACACACAGGTCAGTCCCACCTGCACGCCAGCCTAGACACACCCACACACAGGTGTGCACTAGGTAGAGCCAAAAACCTCATCGCAGTGCATTATTCTCTAATATTTAGGAGGAGAATGTAAACAGGCTGTAATGTGGTGAGTCTGCGCTGCTGAGAGTCGCCTGTAAAGCCTGAAATAATCATTTAAACTCAGAGGCGTCGAGTTTTTCACACCACGTCGTACGTCTTTACGTATTAACATCACAGACTCAGAAAGAAGGTCCGGCACGATGTTTCGCCTCAAATGATCTCAGAATCAACATCACACTGATGAAGATGTGATGACAGTAGTAGATAATTCACTCTCATCCTCAGAGACGCTGCTTCAGTTTACACTGAGATCTCTCTGAGTTCTCTAATCATCAGATTTATCTGCTCGGAGAAGAAGCACAACCTGCGCTACAGAATGTTCTGCAGTGACACGTTTCCTCCAGAGAGGTCTCCAAATCCCTGAAACTTACATAGTGCAGCATTAAGGAAACTAAAGCAGTTCCACACTTTTCCCACAATCCCCTCAGTTTTCCTCACAGCCTTTTCAACTTGCTAATGCTAGCTAACTCTGCTAACTGAAGATAACGCCAGCTGACTCTGCTAACTGAAGGTAACGCCAGCTGACTCTGCTAACTGAAGATAACAGTAGCTGACTCTGCTAACTGAAGGTAACGCCAGCTGACTCTGCTAACTGAAGGTAACGCCAGCTGACTCTGCTAACTGAAGATAACAGTAGCTGACTTTGCTAACTGAAGATAACGCCAGCTGACTCTGCTAACTGAAGATAACGCCAGCTGACTCTGCTAACTGAAGATAACGCCAGCTAACTCTGCTAACTGAAGGTAACGCCAGCTGACTCTGCTAACTGAAGATAACGCCAGCTAACTCTGCTAACTGAAGGTAACGCCAGCTGACTCTGCTAACTGAAGATAACAGTAGCTGACTTTGCTAACTGAAGATAACGCCAGCTGACTCTGCTAACTGAAGATAACGCCAGCTAACTCTGCTAACTGAAGGTAACGCCAGCTGACTCTGCTAACTGAAGATAACGCCAGCTGACTCTGCTAACTGAAGATAACGCCAGCTGACTCTGCTAACTGAAGATAACGCCAGCTGACTCTGCTAACTGAAGGTAACGCCAGCTGACTCTGCTAACTGAAGATAACGCCAGCTAACTCTGCTAACTGAAGGTAACGCCAGCTGACTCTGCTAACTGAAGATAACAGTAGCTGACTTTGCTAACTGAAGATAACGCCAGCTGACTCTGCTAACTGAAGATAACGCCAGCTAACTCTGCTAACTGAAGGTAACGCCAGCTGACTCTGCTAACTGAAGATAACGCCAGCTAACTCTGCTAACTGAAGGTAACGCCAGCTGACTCTGCTAACTGAAGATAACAGTAGCTGACTTTGCTAACTGAAGGTAACGCCAGCTGACTCTGTTAACTGAAGATAACGCTAGCTAACTCTGCTAACTGAAGGTAACGCCAGCTGACTCTGCTAACTGAAGATAACAGTAGCTGACTTTGCTAACTGAAGATAACGCCAGCTGACTCTGCTAACTGAAGATAACGCCAGCTAACTCTGCTAACTGAAGGTAACGCCAGCTAACTCTGCTAACTGAAGATAACAGTAGCTGACTCTGCTAACTGAAGGTAACGCCAGCTGACTCTGCTAACTGAAGGTAACGCCAGCTGACTCTGCTAACTGAAGATAACGCCAGCTGACTCTTCTAACTGACGATAACGCCAGCTGACTCTGCTAACTGACGATAACGCCAGCTGACTCTGCTAACTGAAGGTAACAGTAGCTGACTCTGCTAACTGACGATAACGCCAGCTGACTCTGCTAACTGACGATAACGCCAGTTGACTCTTCTAACTGACGATAACGCCAGCTGACTCTGCTAACTGACGATAACGCCAGCTGACTCTGCTAACTGAAGGTAACAGTAGCTGACTCTGCTAACTGATGATAACGCCAGCTGACTCTGCTAACTGACGATAACGCCAGTTGACTCTGCTAACTGAAGATAATGCCAGCTGACTCTGCTAACTGAAGGTAACGCCAGCTGACTCTGCTAACTGAAGATAACGCCAGCTGACTCTGCTAACTGAAGGTAACGCCAGCTGACTCTGCTAACTGAAGATAACAGTAGCTGACTCTGCTAACTGAAGGTAACGCCAGCTGACTCTGCTAACTGAAGGTAACGCCAGCTGACTCTGCTAACTGAAGATAACGCCAGCTGACTCTTCTAACTGACGATAACGCCAGCTGACTCTGCTAACTGACGATAACGCCAGCTGACTCTGCTAACTGAAGGTAACAGTAGCTGACTCTGCTAACTGACGATAACGCCAGCTGACTCTGCTAACTGACGATAACGCCAGTTGACTCTGCTAACTGAAGATAATGCCAGCTGACTCTGCTAACTGACGATAACGCCAGTTGACTCTGCTAACTGAAGATAACAGTAGCTAACTCTGCTAACTGAAGATAACGCCAGCTGACTCTGCTAACTGACAATAACGCCAGCTGACTCTGCTAACTGAAGGTAACGCCAGCTGACTCTGCTGACTGACGGTAATGCTAGCTGGCTCTGCTAACTGAAGGTAACAGTAGCTGACTCTGCTAACTGAAGGTAACAGTAGCTGACTCTGCTAACTGAAGGTAACAGTAGCTGACTCTGCTAACTGAAGGTAATGCTAGCTGACTCTGCTAAGTGACAGTATGTAAAACTGTCTAACTCACAGTGTTGTTGTGTGTTACAGAGTCACAGAGCTGATGTGTGTATGGTTCAGAACGCCAGTGGGCGTCGCCCGTCTCAGCCAAACAGCATCGTCCTTCAGATCAACAAGTTCCTGATTGGTCTGCAGTCCGGCCAGGAAAGACAGCGGCACAGCCGATTGGCTGGACAGCGCGTTTCCGATGACGACACCAATCGTTCCGTATCGTCAATAGAGGAGGACTTCCTGACCGCCTCCGAGCAGCTGGGGGAGGACAGCGAGGACGACCCCTTCAGAAACGGTGAATAACACAGACATTCATCTGCATCCATCCATCCATCCATCTATCCATCCATCTGTACATCCATCTGTACATCCATCTATACATTCATCCATTCATCGCTTTTTCCATCTATACATCTGCCTATTTAATCTATTTGTTCATTCATCTTTCCAGCCATTTGTCCATCTTTTTATCCATCTGTTCATCCCTCTGTCCATCTCTTTATCCATCCATCCATCTATATATCTATCCATTCATGCTTTCATCCATCCGTGTATCTTTCTATGCATCCATCCATTCATCACTCTGTCCATCTATCCATCCAAACATCTGTCTATTTAACCATTTGTTTATCCGTCTGTCCATCCATTCATCCATCCATCCAGATATCTATACATTCATCCTTCCATCCATCTGGCCATCCATCCATAGATCCATCCATCAGTCCATCCATTTATGTATCTATACTTTCATAATTCCATCCATCTGCTCTTCCATCCTTGCATCAATCTATCCATGTGTACATTCATTCATCCTTCCATCATCTGTCCATCCATCAGTCTGTCCATCTATGTATACATCTTTCCGTCTATCTGTACATCCATCAGTCTATCCATCTATGTATACATCTTTCCATCCATCTGTCCATCCATCAGTCTATCCATCTATGTATACATCTTTCCATCCATCTGTCCATCCATCAGTCTATCCATCTATGTATACATCTTTCCATCCATCTGTCCATCCATCAGTCTATCCATCTATGTATACATCTTTCCATCCATCTGTCCATCCATCAGTCTATCCATCTATGTATACATCTTTCCGTCTATCTGTCCATCCATGTACGTATCAGTTCATTCATTACTCTGTCCTTTTATCCAGCCATACATCTGTCCATTTAACCATTAAGACAGCCATCTGTTCATCCATGCATATGTCCATCTATCTATCCATCTGTTTATCCCTCTCTTCTTCCATCTGTCCATCCATCCATCCATCCATCAATCCATCCCTGTATCCATCTATCGACCCATCTGGTCTATCTGTCCATCCATCTGTACTGAGCACTAAAATGTACTTTGGACAAAATATGGATCATAAATTAAATTTATTAGTGACTGTTATCAGTTCTTGGTGATGTAATTTAATGGAAGGGAAGCCATCAAGTCTGTGGCTCAGCGCCAAAATGTTACTCCAGCGAACCTCTTCATCTTAATGTGCCAGAGAGACACAGAGAGAGAGAGAGAGAGAGAGAGTGAGAGAGGCAGAGAGACACAGAGAGACACGGAGAGAGAGAGAGTGAGAGAGGCAGAGAGACACAGAGAGAGAGAGAGTGTTGAACAGTAGATGATAACAGCTCCATATGCCTTAAAGTGATAAACTCACAGAGCTGGTAGATCAAACCTAACAAGACGCGTGACGACGCCTGATTAACCCTTCAGAACCATTCCTGCTGTTCTGCTGTGCGTAATGATGAACCTCATTTACGTTCCGTGTACAGTCTGTATCGGCGGGTTCCAGCCTGCACTTCTGACTTTGTTTTCAAGCCAAAAGTGTAGAGAAAAAAAGGAGCAGCTCATCAGCTACACTTGTAAAGACAACGGTTCTTCAGGGGTTCTTTAGTGAAGACAATGGTTCTATACAAAACCATGAACACTCAAAGAACCATTCGCATGAATAAATGGTTCTTTGCATGGTGAAATTGTTCTTCAGTTTGATGGAGAATGTGTTTTACATGGCTCTGTATAGCACCAAAAAGGGTTCTGCTATTGTGGCAATAGAACCCTTTTCAAAAAGGTTCTATATAGAACCATTTGCAACACATTCTCGATCAGTCTAAAAAACCGTTTCATCATGCAAAGAGCTAGGTAAGCATGCAAATGGTTTTTAAGTGTTCATGGTTCTATGTAGAACAGTCAGGCTGATTGGACGTGCTAAATTGCCCCTAGGTGTGAGTGTGTGAGTGTGTGAGTGTGTGAATGTGTATGTCTGTTTGCCCTGCGATGGACTGGCGACCTGTCCAGGGTGTATCCTGCCTTCCGCCCAATGACAGCTGGGATAGGTTCCAGCACCCCACCGCGACCCAGAAGGATAAGCGGTTTAGATGATGTATGTATGTTTCATGCAAGACGCGTTCTGTTTGATGTAAACGATTAGAATTATCCAGTTTAATGCAGTTTACTGTCTCCTGCCTTTACTGAAGAACCCTTGAAGAACCGTCTTCTTTAAGAGTGTTTTTTTTGTGTTATTTCGTCGGTGTTGTAAATCTGGCAAATGTGTGACGTTGAGCTTCTGCCAGGAACACAGTTCACTTGTAGAACAGCAGAGTTTTCTACAGCGATTGAAAACCGATGAGCAGAATTACGGGGCGCGCTGACTCGATAACTTTATAACAGCCTGAAAAGTGAAAATGAGAGTGAACGGTTGTGCCGAGTGCTCAGGGTTCAGATCTTTTCAAACAAAGCTTTTCAGTTCCTCGGTCCTCTGTTGTGTTGCTGCTGCTCGTCTCTCTCTCTCGCTCTGTTCCCCCTCACCTCTTTTTAAAAGAGCCGAGAGGGAACGAGAGCTTGTTGCCCCGCCTCCCTGTCACCGCAGTTCACTGCGCCGTAGTTCGGCCACCCGGGTCAAACGTGAGGTGTAGTGCAGCGGCCTCACTGTGGAACAGGGGGTGGGGCCCGGGCAGCGGAGCTCGGGACTCGCTCCTCACCCTCGTGCCTCTCGTGGCCGGCACCATCGTCCTCCTCCTCCCACCGTCACTTGCATCCCTCGGCGGAGCTCGGGCTTTACGCTCCGTCCCCAACTCAATCGCGGCTCTCTCCCCGTCACCGCTTGGTATTCGGGCCCTGCCTTCCAGCAGGCTCTCGCGGCCGCCATTGGGGCCCGGTGGACGGGCGCACGTCCACCCAGTTTGATTTCCTGATGTTAATGACTGTAATGTTTCAATGAAATTCAAACAAATTTGAATTTCTGCTGTTTTGCATCATCTTTAGTTGTTGTTATAAGTGTGTGAAGTCACTGTTAGAGCAGAAACTCATATCTCCAAAATGTTTAACAGGAGAAGGAAAAAACATTCCTAACTTGTAATGGAAGTTAACCCTGTGGGGTCTGCGAACTCGCCCATGCGTCAAATTCTCTGTCTCTATATCTGTTTCTGTATCTTTGTGATGATCCGGCTCAGAAATCCAGTTCAGACACTTCCTGAATCTGTAGAGTCGCCCTTTCCATTCCATCTTATCACGAGATCATACGAGACTCACATCCGGAGTTATGAGCCTATGAAGAGGGGCTGAGATACACATCATCTGCCTCTCACCGTGTGGAACTGGTGGATTCGTGTGTCCGTCTACATTCTGTGTGAAACTGACCGATGGACACTCAGGAAATCACTAAGGACTGACCATCACGCCGGAAACCCTTCATTCTTCATTCAGTCCACATCGGAGACTCGTGTGAAACGGCGTGCAGAGAGTTTACAGCTGCTGAAGCTGCTGCAGTGGTTTTGGAAAGTAGTGATGAAGATAACGGAGCATTTAGATATGAAACATATGAGGATCATGATATATGAAGAGCCTTTAAAGGAGAGTTTAAGAAGAGATGAACAAGATATAGAACAACATTTTATCCAGTTAATTTTGGATCATTTTTATCAGTCTGTTCATTATAAAATTTTAACACAATGCAAAGGAATTTTCATACGCAAAAAAAGTTATTCATCAACAGAGCACACAGTTTTTCCATTTTGAAGTATACTGTGCTGTTGTGCAGATGAAGTGTGCAGGGAAGGCCATCATTTCTGCTCAGAGGTGCTCTTTTATTAAAGAAGTCAGAAAAGCCACTGCCTGACAGCTGGAATAAGGAAAAGGTCAGCTTCACCCGCTGGTGAACTCATCCACACACACTGATTACTCTACAAAAGACACAATAAAGCACATTCTACACATAAACACATCTGAAACTGAGAACAGCAACACTGACGACAACAACAACAAGTGTCTCTTACAAGGAGGGGAGGTACAGCCCAGCACGGTTTTCCATACTGCGCCCCTAAAGCTCAAAATTGACAACAAAATATACTGTCGTGTTATAAAACACATTTTTCAAAACTCATTTTGAAACTTATTTTTACAGTTTTTCGTGTTTTGCCCTCGGCCCACCACAAAATCTGCACTTTGGCCCCCCAGTACATAAAGTTTGGCAAGCTGGCAACCCAGTTATTTTTATCACGGTGTCAATGGTAAAATGAAAAGAGCGGTTAATGACGTTCTTCTGGCTGTATATTAGAGCTTCGTTATTAAAATAACACAAAATGGGATGAATTTACTCAGCAGACTTATTGCTCAGCTATTGATGTTATTCGTTCACAAGGAAATTTTGCACATTTGAACCAAGTAAATTAAATGCATCACTTCTTTCAGTGAATTTTAAAGGGTCTCACTATATTGGCAGATAATTTGGCTTATTTCAAGCATATTTCTTAAAATAAGCTAAATTATCTGCCAATATATTGAGTTTAGTTTACGTAATAATAATTAAAATGAATCAAAACAAGTATAAAATGTCGAATATGTTAAATATTCTTGTAATGTTTCCTCAAACCGTCTCAAAATGAGAAATATTAGATATGTAAAGAAGATTTAATACAGCCATGTCATTTTTTGCAGTGCATGAACAGCTTTTCCAGTTTTTTTAAACAGAAATCTTGAAATACTTTGCACTTTATGTGTTTACATAAGGCTGCAGACAAAACATAGTGTGTGAAAGGGCAGTTCCAGCGCAGTCCACTTTCCCCCGAATATGCTCTCTACTCAGCCTACAGAGCAAAAACAGGCAGAGTCAGTGGAAATAACAGCAGCCCCGCCCACCATCAGCCCCGCCCACCATCAGCCCTGCCCACAATCAGCCCCGCCCACAATCAGCGTCACAGCCAGTCCTGCAGACAAGATCAGCCAGAGACTCACAGACGGGACTGGAGCTCCTCAACCAGTCGGAGACTCACAGACGGGACTGGAGCTCCTCAACCAGTCGGAGACTCACAGACGGGACTGGAGCTCCTCAACCAATCGGAGACTCACAGGCGGGACTGGAGCTCCTCAACCAATCGGAGACTCACAGACGGGACTGGAGCTCCTCAACCAGTCGGAGACTCACAGACGGGACTGGAGCTCCTCAACCAGTCGGAGACTCACAGCGGGACTGGAGCTCCTCAACCAATCGGAGACTCACAGACGGGACTGGAGCTCCTCAACCAGTCGGAGACTCACAGGCGGGACTGGAGCTCCTCAACCAATCGGAGACTCACAGACGGGACTGGAGCTCCTCAACCAGTCGGAGACTCACAGACGGGACTGGAGCTCCTCAACCAATCGGAGACTCACAGACGGGACTGGAGCTCCTCAACCAGTCGGAGACTCACAGGCGGGACTGGAGCTCCTCAACCAATCGGAGACTCACAGACGGGACTGGAGCTCCTCAACCAGTCGGAGACTCACAGACGGGACTGGAGCTCCTCAACCAATCGGAGACTCACAGACGGGACTGGAGCTCCTCAACCAGTCGGAGACTCACAGACGGGACTGGAGCTCCTCAACCAGTCGGAGACTCACAGACGGGACCAGATCTGTTTATCATAGAAATGTTCACACAGTGTTAAAGATGGAAAAACATAATTTAACATGGAGCTATGAGGGATTAAAATGGCGGCAATGATGTAAATATTTGCAATAAATAACATCAGCAAATGTGTTTATTTATCAGCTGTAATAATCTGATCTGAAGAGTCAGGAAAGGTCAGCATGTTTATTTAGATCTAAAGTAACCAGGCAACAGCAGAGAGAGGAGATCATTTACTGAATGAGCCTGTATGAGGGAGAGAGAGAGAGAGAGAGAGAGGGGGAGAATATAGAGAAAGAGAAAAGAGAGAGAGAGAGAGGGAGAATACAGAGAAGGAGAATGTAGAGAAAGAGTAAGGGAGAGAGATGGAGAGAACAGTGAGAAAAAGAGAGAGGAAAGGGAAAATGGAAAATATAGAGAAAGAGAGAAAAGGAATAAAAAAAGAAAGGGAGGGAGAATAAAGAGAAAGAGAGAGAGAAAAAGAAAGCAAGAAAGTGAAATAGAGAAAGATTGAGAGAAGAGAATGAGAAAGAAATAGAAAAGAAAGAAAATGTGTGTGAGAGAGAAAGATAGAGGGACATAATAGATGGATAGAAAGAGAGAGAGGAAAAGAATGAGAGAGCAAAGAGGAAAAGAGAAAAAGCGGTAAATTTAAAAAAGATTGGTGCAATTTCCCTTTAAGAACGAATAATATGTATAACTAATAATAATATATAATAGTAATAATATGCAGTAAATAATAATAATAATAATAATAATAATAATAATAATCAGTTCTGATGGCTGGTTGGTTCATGCACTGAAAGAAATGATATAAAGTGAAATGATCTTAAATCTCTTCTAAGTATCTAATATCACTTATTTTGCGATGGTTATAGGAACATTACAATAATGATGACTCATTTTATATATTTTTACTTGTTTTTAGTATTTTTATTACTATATTAGCACATAGTTTTGCTTGTTTTAAGAAATTAGCCTGAAACAAGCTAACATCACTGTACCTGTTCAACCTGTATGCTGAACGTATGATGACAGGATCAGGACAGAGGAGGACAGTCGAGGTTCAGGATTGGTGGAAGAAACATCAGTAACCTTTGATATGAAGATGATACGACACTCACAGCGGAACATCTGGAGAATCTGAAGGTCCTTATGAGGAAGGTTGGAGAACAGAGTGTAATGATGGGACTTCAGCTTAACATGAAGAAGACTGAGGTTATGATGACAGGACAGCTGCTAACTTTACCATCGATGGAGAAGATGTGGAGATGGTGGAGCTCTTGCCTACTCTGATCAGTTATTAACAACAGGATTCATCAAGAAATACTACGCAGATCAGCGCTCAGCAGAACAAGGATGAAGGAGCTTGAAAAGATCTTCAAATGATTCAACGATTTGTCTACAAACAGAGATCAGAACTGTCCAGGCTGTGGTCTTCTCTGCGGTTCTTCATGGACAATAAACAAGTGAGACAGAAAAATCTAGATGCCTTTGAACTTTGATGTTGACGAAGACTTTGAGAACCTCAGACTGCAGATAAAACAAACAAATGGATCCTCAACCAAATCAAACCTCTCCTCTCACTGAGAGCCCAGAGAACCAAACTGAGGATCTTATTTTGGACACTTACTGAGAAGAACCAGTTCACTGTAAAAGACCGTTATGATTGGAAGAGCTGGAGGTAAAATCTGAGGACGACCAGCTAAAAGATGGATGGAGATGATCAGAGGAATCATGAACCAGCCATTCAGATGCCTGAAGACCCAAACAGAAGACAGGACGTTCTGGAGGAACACTGTCCACACGGTCACCAGGAGTCAGAAACGACTTGACGGCACTTAATCACAATAACAATAATAATAGTAATAGTGAGATTATTTATCTTAATAAAATGACTAAAAACAAAATAAATTGAAATAAGTTAAATAATCTTGTAATATTTTTTCTTAAAATGAGAAATATTAGATGTATAGACTACATTTCAGATGATTTCACTTGCTAACAACAACAATAATAATAATAATAATAATAGTAATAATGATAATAATAATAATAACAGCACTGATGCTATAGAGGCCGTGATGGCCTGTGTGTGGTGTATATTACGGTGTAATGAGTTATGTTGTTTTATTAAGCAGTGTTATGAAGCTGAAGGCTCACACTCTCCTCCTAATCAATGATTATCAGTGCGTGCGATGCGTCCGGCCTCCGGTCACATATTAAGGCAACGAGACGCACTCAGCTGCGCCGCCAGCAGGCAAGGCTAATCTATAATTAATCTCTCATATGGAATTAGAGCTAACGCTGTGTGAAGGTTATGCTCTCCTCAAAGCCAATGCAATATTTATAATAAGATTGGCCCAGATACAGATTTGCATTGGGGGCAGTGTGGGGGGGCAGTTAATGGAGAAAGTGAGCAGGAAGGCAGCGGCCGTGCGATATTGATCGCTTACTCACCGGCTATCACCTCCCCCGGTGGACGCGGTGGGAGAGACAGAGCGCTTCTGTAATAACAGTGGACGTGTCGCTGTTTTTCGCCTCGCAGCTTCGCTCTCGGCCGCTCTCTCCTTCCCTCGCTCGCTTTTCTCTTCTCCTACGTTTACATTTATTCATTTAGCACACGCGCCGATCCGCTTACAACATGTACAAACAGCGGAGGGGGACAGGTCAGTGAGTAAATCGGGCTCTTCAGCTCAGAGGAACCTTCTGCTAAACATTCTGAGGGCAGAGGAACCCCCCCCAAAAAAAAACAAAAAAAATATATATATATATATATATATATATATACACACACACACACTGATCATTCTGACCACCTCCTTGTTTCTACGCCCATTGTCCATTTTATCAGCTCCACTTACTATATAGGTGCACTTTGTAGTTCTACAGTTACAGACTGTAGTCCATCTGTTTCTCTGATACTTTGTTAGCCCCCTTTTACCCTGTTCTTCAGTGGTCAGGACCCCCATGGACCCTCACAGAGCAGGTACTATTTGGGTGGTGGATCATTCTCAGCACTGCAGTAACACTGACGTGGTGGTGTGTTAGTGTGTGTTGTGCTGGTACGAGTGGATCAGACACAGCAGTGCTGCTGGAGTTTTTAAACACCTCAGTGTCACTGCTGGACTGAGAATAGTCCACCAACCAAAAATATCCAGCCAACAGCGTCCTGTGACCACTGATGAAGGACTAGAGGATGACCAACACGAACTGTGCAGCAGCAGATGAGCTATCATCTCTGACTTTACATGTACAAGGTGGACTGGCAAGGTAGGAGTGTCTAATAGAGTGGACAGTGAGTGGACACTGTGTTTAAAAACTGTGATCTGGGTCTGATAATTAGGCCAAAAAAGGTAAAGATGCTGTCACAGTTAACTGATGAGAGCCTAGATCATAATTAGTTGCAAAAGGAGGAAAAAGCAAGTGAAGCCAAACATTGACAGAATCAGGACTGACAACTTTTAGTTGCCAATATCACATTTTTTGCAGAGAAACACTCAGCACAAATGTTAAGCTCAAAATTTTGTTGCACCTTAAAAAACCAGGTAACGAGTACAGATTTTTTCTCATTGTCTTTCACAGTTCAGCTCAGTTCTGTTTGCTTTAAGGAAGCGTTATTAACACGGCATTTTATGAGCTGTAGTTTTCTGCTCTAAGCATACATTTGAATACTAATCGACCTCAACCCTCCCTCTCTCCTCGCTCTCTCTCTCTGTCTGTCTCTCACTGTAGATGCAGACGGTGGTCTTTCATCAGATGCAGTGGAGTTGCTGAGGTCAGGACACATTCGGAGGAAAAGTACAGTGGAGAGAGAGGACAGTGAGGACTCAGATACACTGTGCGCCTCTTCAAAGTCACATAAACTCTCCAGGGCTTCTTCTGCGCCAACCAGAGGCAGCGCCGCTCCCAAACACATCAGCCGACGAACCAAAGAGTCAGCCGGACATTACGCCACCAACCTCGCTGAGTCCGTTATGCAGGACGCCTTCATCCACCTGTCTCAGGACGAGCCGTCTTTCACCCCAGAAGCAGCAGTTAGCATCTCCAGTTCGCCACAGAAAGCAGCTGGCATGCGGCATCATACGGACGAGCCCCCAAGGGCAAGAACTTGCTCTTTTGAACTCCCAAAAATCGTGATCGTACAAAGTCCCGATAACTGTGAAGAAGCAGCTGAGTGGCCTGGCACGCAGTCCGAACATCAGGGAGTTCATAAGAGCGTAGCTGAGCCGGTAGCGCAATCACACTCGCATCTCTCACATGGCTCTCCAAAAAGACACTCGGCTAAGCCGGTGGAAGTAGCACTAGCATGCGCTGCTAGCGTCATCGGCACAATCAGCACCCCACAGGTCACAGAGAGGCTTACACTTGAATCAGGAGATGAGGACGATGTTGATGAGGATGGAGGCAGCGAGACCGAACAAGGGGACTACTCGGTCTCTTCCGCCGTGTGCGGCATGGCTCAGATGGCCGGAGCAGTAGCCGTGGTGGACCTTACTGAAGATTCTGCTGATACTGAAGACTCAGGTGAGATGTTTTCAGCATCTTTGGGGCTGCTGTCCGCGGCCCAGGCCTCCACGGCCATCCCGCTGCATTGCAGCGTAGCAGAAGGCACCTGTCTGGAAACGTTCAGGGCCAACGTGGCCGAAGTTCTCCTGAGAGAGGCTTCAGCAGTGCTAACCCACAAACAAAGCTACACTAGCATAGCAAACTTCCTGGAGACTATGCATAACAAGATCGTGGATGGGATCACACGTCCAAGGAGGTCATACCAGGAGCACCTGGAGGTGGACGAATTCACACAGGAGGTGGCGGACAGCATTTTTAAATACACCCTGGAGAAAGCGGTGAAAAGGAAAGAGCTCGAAGGGAAGGACGCTGTCAACATGCAGCGTTTTCTCCTAGAGAGTGTGAATGATCTGCTCTTTGACGTCCTTTGTGTCACGTCGAGAAAAATCAATGACATTTCAACATGTAATCTGGGGTCGGCCGACAGGAGAGGAAGTGAAGCTGGCTCCAAAGAATGCAAGACTGCCACCAAGCCTGACGAAGAAACATTAAGCCAATTACAGGGTTTGACTGAGCACAGCCAGTCTGATAATCCCAGTGAGAGGCAGAGCAGCTCTCTTTCGGGAAAGAGAGAGAGAGAGCAGAAGAGCAATCAGGAGGAGAGAGAGAGTGAATTAAACTCAAATGGGAAGGAGTCCTGCAGGCTTGCTCAGAGCAGAATAAACCGAGCCACGGTGAGGGAACTGGCTGACCTGCAGGGGCAGCTGGCTAAGTGTGATTGGAGCTATGACTCCAGGCTTCCCTCGACCGAGAACTCTCCCTTGCACAGCACTCGAGGGAAAACTGGGAGAGAGGGAGAAATCAGGCAGCAATCCTTCTCTTCCTCCACAGGAGCACTTGTAGTACCTAAAATGGAGCCGGGTGAGTGCAAGACTCCAGTCACGTGCTTTGCTGAGGACTTGGCGACAACGGTGGTGTCCATGGCCACAGAGCTGGCGGCAATATGCCTTGAGAATTCGAGCGGTAAGCAGCCCTGGTTCTGTGCCCTGAAGGGTGGATCTGAGGGACCAGAAGGGCTTCTACTGCCCTGCCGGACAGCTGCAGCTCTCCGCAGAAAAGAAACTCAAAATGGCACAGCAGTTGCCAAGAAGCACCGGCCTCCTCGGCTCAGCGAGATCAAACGTAAAACAGAGGAGCAGCCCGAGCTCATGGAACGTTTGGTCAACCGTGTGGTTGATGAGACCGTTAACCTGGACGATCCAGCAACTTCTGACCCCTTTGCCCTCTTTGCCTCAGAGGTCACAGCACGGATCATGAACTGTCCTGAGCTTAACGTAGTGGACACATCTAAACAGGGCCAGCCCTCCCGTAGCCGGCTGCAGTGCGAGAGGTGGAGCAGTCGAGGCAAAGCGTCAAGCTATGAAAGCATCCCAGAGGAGGATGCAGATCCTTCTGGAGCACCACACACCCTGGGGCCAGGGCAACAGGCTGGGTCACAACCTGAGCCGAGGAAGCTCAATCTCCAAGCAGTCCAGCTGTGAGAGCATAACTGACGAGTTCTCTCGGTTCATGGTGAACCAGATGGAGACGGAGGGCCGAGAGTTTGACCTCCTGCTGGACTACTATGCTGGGAAGAATGCCAGCAGCATCCTGGCAGCAGCTGTTCAACAGGCGGCAAGCAGGAAGAACGGACACCTCAATGTCCGGACATCATCTTGCCTCTCCAAGCAGTCCAGCACGGAGAGCATTACTGAGGAGTTTTACCGCTTTATGCTCAAAGATATGGACAAGGAGAACAAAGACTATGGCATCACCAAGACCAAAGAGTGGAGCAACAGCCTTCTGCCTCCAACTCCTAGAACTCCTTTCTGCATCCGCCAGTCCTCCGTTCCGGACAGGCGATCATCCGACTCGAGGCTGACCGTAAACTCGCCCATCAAGGCGAACTCGTTTGACGGATTTGCCCGAAATGTTCGCGGTGACTCGCTTAACATCTACCCATCCAACTCAGTGTCGTCCACAAGTCTGTGCAAGTCTGACTCTTGCTTGTATCAACGTGGCCAAACAGACCACATCACAGACATGCTAATCCATGAGACATGGGCAAGCTCTATTGAGTCTCTGATGCGTAAAAACAAGATTATCGCAGAACCTTCGGAGGACAGTGTGGAGCTGGACGCTGCCGACTCCCAGCCCCACGTCCAGCTCTTTGCTAATCGACTAGCTGCCGACATTGTGGAAAGTGGCAAGTCGCTAATGGGAGGTCAGCAGGAAGGAGGAACAGCTTGCCATCAGAAGCATGCTACAGTTGGAGAGAAGAGGCGGGGCTTTAAGCAATCTCGCCCAGGAAGCGGTCACACTCGGGCGAGTATGGAACAGCAGGAGGTCAGTGAAGGTTCCCAAGGGCCCACATGTGGGGGGCCTACACGGCTAGGCCAGAGGGAGGTTCCTCTAATTCACATTGAGCCAGATCAAAGGGACGAAGTGTCTGCAGACACGGAGAGGGAACGTGGCCACAGCAGGGAGTCAAACGCCCAGGTCCAACCTCAAAGCAGCAGGGATAGAGTGCCGGCGAGCCGGAACAGGTACAGTCAAAGAAAACGCACAAACACTGCTTGAGGGTCAAGATTACACTCAAGTTATTTGAAGTGCAGCAGATGAGCTCGTAGTGGAGCTTTGAAAAAGCACGCAACGGTAACATCTCAGTTCAGCAGAGTGGCTTTGATCTGCCTGAGAGGGGGAGAGAGAGAGAGAGAGAGAGAGAGAGAGATTTTGCAAAATTAAATTGTCAACCATTTCCTTTAATACAAAATGATTGTTCTGTTTTGCCAGTGGGTTTGTACCAAAAATAGACACAGAAAAAAAGCATAAACTGAATGAGACTCTGCCACACATTTCAAACATGCAAACATGTCAAGTGTTGTCGCTTACAAAAGCACTAAAAAGCCATGGATTCGTGTATATTGCTTATGCTGTATTGTTTAATATATACTGATATAGTACATGATATAGTGTTTAATTTTTTTTCTCAGATTTTCAGTTATTCGTGTCATTATGGTGACAATACTAATTTTGTTTTCCCAACTTAATGGTATCATTTTCCAGAGATAGAAAATTGGGGCTGATTGATAGAGATAGAGGGGCTGTATTGATCGGTTCTGCTGGTAATCCGCTAAGGATCTGTTTACATGTCAGCGCTCTTTAATCTGAGGACGTGTTCTGGTCACTAGAGCTGATAATCTGTTGAGAAACTGTTTATTTGTCAGTGATGTTTAATCCGAGGGGCTGTATTGTCAGTAGTGCTGTGTAATCCGCTAAAGAACTGTTTATAATCTGAGGGGCTGTATTGGTCAGTAGTGTTGTTAATCTGTTAAGAAAACTGTTTATTTGTCAGTGATCTTTAATCTGAGTATTGTCAGTAGTGCTGGTGAGCCGCTAAGGAACTGTTTATGTGTCAGTGACCTTTAATCTGAGGGTCTGTATTGGTCAGTAGCGCTGGTAATCCATTAAGAATCTGTTTACATGTCAGAACGTTTTAATCTGAGGGCCTGATACTGGTCAGTAGTGCTGATGATCTGTTGAGAAACTGTTTATTTGTCAGTGATCTTTAATCTGAGGGACTGTATTGTCAGTAGTGCTGGTAATCTGCTAAAGAACTGTTTATAATCTAAGGGGCTGTATTGTCGGTAGTGCTGGTAATCCATTAAGGATCTGTTTATTTGTCAGTGACCTTTACTCTGAGGGGCTGTATTGGTCAGCAGCGCTGGTAATCCATTAAGAATCTGTTTACATGTCAGGGACTCTTTAATCTGAATGCTGGCCAGTGCTGTTAATCTGTTAAGAATCTGTTTGATTTGTCAGTGACCTTTAATCTGAGGGCCTGTACTGGTCAGTAGTGCTGTTAAGAATCTGTTTTATTTGTCAGTGATCTCTAGTCTGAGTATTGTCAGTAGTGCTGGTAATCCGCTAAAGAACTGTTTATAATCTGAGGGGCTGTATTGGTCAGTTGTGCTGATGATGCAGTAAGGATGATGTTGTTTATAACTCACAGGGCATTATGCTGTTATCTTGAGAAAACAAAAATAAATAAATAAAAATGGGCAGAAGAAGAATGTAAAGATCCAAGATCAGTGATGCTGAAAAGCTACAACTGAATCTACTACAGGGCTACGATTCAGCTCGGCAGGTTTTAGATTCATAAGATTAGACAAGCTAACAATTTGTAATAATAATTACCAAAGTTTTAGCAATGAATACTTATTAGTACTAATACTTATTGCATTCTGACTAATTTGGGTATTTAAGAACCCATAAGAGTTAATGAACAGATTGTAGCATCAGCGTAGAAGAAGACAAGGAAAACACTGTCTGCAACAACATCAACATTGAGCGTCCTTCTAACCCCGAGAGTGTGGCATGCTCCGAGAGCCACTTTGCATGGCCACACCCCCTAAACTCATCACTGGCTATGCTGCCATGGAGGGTCATGGAAGGTGCCCAGCATTTGTACGGAGGCTGTAAGGTGACGTGGTGATTATTTTTTAATGAGGCATGGCCGCGAATTGATATAGGCAATTAATAGCTATATTGAGGCCACAAATTACTATATTGAGGCCACTATATATATATATATATATTTGAATATATTTGAATATATTCATTTGTGGCAACGCCTTATTAAAACTAATCACCATGTCAGCTTAGGGGCTCTGTATATTTGAGAGCTTGCAAAATCTAGCATTTTCCTGAGATGCTACTGAGATGATTCCATTATCTTGGGAAAACACTGTTTCTCATGTTATGACAATGACATAAATAACTCAAGATCTCAAGAAAACTCATTATCCCAGGAAACTTGTGTAAACAGGAAATCCATGACCTTTAGGGCTGCTGTAATTGGTTCGTTGTTGTGTTCAGTTTGTGTGTATTTGACTTTACCCAATGTTGACAGATGCTGGTGTTTGATCAGTGTAGATAACAGACACGAACACACTGGCTGGTGCAGTTATGCCATGTACTCTCTCCTCTCAGCACTGACAGCAGGGACAGGACCCCCACAGTGCCCTCTACAGGTGTGGAGGGAGAGTGCCGCTCTCTCAGCACTAGCAGTGAGGAGAGTGGCTCAGGCAGTTGGGCTCAGGTTGCCCCTGATGAAGACCCCCAAGAGGAGACCACCAGTAGCTTTATTCAGCTAAGCGAGGGGTCAGTCCTCCAGTATCCCATCATGCCTTATCAGCCATTCCAGTGGCTGCTCCATTTAGTTCTCCATTAAAGCTACATGCGCTAAATGCTAATGCTACCCGTAGCTCAGGCTGCTTCATAATCTAAGCTGCTTTGCTCACCATCAACCCAGCGCTGGATATGGTTTGGTTTTAGTGTAGTTCAAATAGAGTCTCTGAGGTGCGAGTCCAAGTCAAGTCTTGAGTTTCTGAGGTGTGAGTCTGAGTTGAGTCTCAAGTTGCTGGGGTCCAAGTTCGAGTCTTAAGTCTTTGAGGTGAGTCATAGTCGAGTCTAGAGTCTCTGAGGTGTGAGTCCGAGTCGAGTATAGAGTCTGTGAGGTGCGAGTCTAAGTCTCGAGTCTCTGAGGTGTGAGTCTGAGGCGAGTATAGAATTTGTTAGGTGTGAGTCTTAGTCGAGTCTCAAATGTCTGAGATGCGAGTCTCGAGTCCGAGGTTTGAGTTCGAATCAAGTCTTGAGCCTCTGAGGTGTGGGTCCAACTCGAGTCTTGAGTCTCTAAGGTGCGAGTCCGAGTCAAGTCATTATCATCTGAGGTGAGCCTTGAGTCTCCGAGGTGCGAGTCTGAGTCAAGTCTCGAGTTTCTGAGGTGTGAGTCCAAGTCGAGTCTCACGTCCCTAAAGTGCAAGTCTGAGTTGAATCTCAAGCCTCTAAGGTTCAAGTCAAGTCTTGAGTCTCTGAGGCGAGTCAGTTAAAAACATATTTCTTTACCCTTTCCCTTGTTTTTACTGGAATATTACTTTTGCTTTCTTGTTAATTTTCTTGTTAATTGTATTTGTATTTATATTTTCATTTCATTTCATTTTAATTATTATTAAATAATTAACCCTAACCCTAACGTATCCCCTTTTTTGTAGCCCTGTTTCTTGAATTTTTGATATATTTTTATTTTTGATTCTTTTTTTATCTTCTTCCTCTGTTGTTTTTATGTTGTACTGTGAAGCACTTTGAGCTGCATATTTAATGTGAGAAAAGTGCAGTATAAACAAAATAATGGTTAGCACCATGCTAATTGGTGGGGTGTAAGATTCCATCGCTTGTTAGCTACATTAGCTCCCGTGCTAAAACAGAAGCAATGTTCCCACACCGAGCATCTCTTGGCTGATGGGCTACATTTGGGTGGATTTTTAGCCAAACTCTGTCTGCAGCCGGGTCAGGGTCACGGTCAGAGTCTCACTTCTCAGTTTAATCCATCACATTAAAATCTCTGCTGGCACTCGCTCCCCTCACACTCCGCAGCGTAGCCGGCAGCATCGGCCGAGTGCGCGAACACATCAGCAAGCCGCGGCTGAGGGGAACGTGCCTAAGCGCACTCACTGCTGTGGCCTAATCAGCACACAGACACACCGCATCACCCCAAATCAGATTAAACTGCCTGCTGGACACAAACCCAAACTGCTTTTGGCCACTCAGAACCTTTCGCTCCACGCAGAGGAGGCAGCCGGAGCCGCAGCCGGGGGAACGTAAATCCCTGAAGTGAGAGTGATTCCATTAGAGTGGCCCATTCAGCGCAGCGCTCCGAATAAGCCGAGCTGACAGCGCTGATGTTTTCTGGCCCTCACAGACCATCAGCCATCTACACTCCAGACAGGAAGTGCCCCAGATGGTCAGACAGGTGCCACCGCTGATATCCTGTTGGCTTTAGCCGGTCCGCTCGATATATTTGCAACAGACACCAGGGAGGCGGGAAGTGGAGGGGGGGGCTGAGGGGGCTGCAGCACCCCCTGATTTCAGGGCTGCACCTGCTAAAAATAATAATAAAGATCTGAACCTTTTCATATTTTGAGTGCAGAAAAGATTCAGGTGCTTGTTTAAAAGAGGAGTTTGTCTTTCTCTGTTTTTTATATGTTTTTTAAGGGTTCTTTAGTAATGAAAACGGTTCTGTATAGAACCATGAACACTCAAAGAACCTTTTGCATGACTAAAGGGTTCTTTGCCTCATGAAAGCGTTCTTCAGACTGACAGAGAATGTGCTGTGTATGGTTCTATATAGAATATTTTTGAAAAAGGTTCTATACAGCACCAAAAAAGGGTTCTGCTAATGTATACAAGCTTTGTAACAATAGCAGAACCCTTTTGTGCTACATAGAAAAGATTAAGCTGTGGCTGGGCTGTTGCTGTGATATCCCAGGTGGTTGCGAAGTTGTTGCAAGGCTGTTGATATGAAATCTCAGGCAGTTGCTAATGTGTTGCCAGGCAGTTGCTATGGTAACGTGGTGGCTAAGGTGTTGTTGGGCGGTTGCTGTGTGGTTGCAAAGTGTTTTTATTAGCCTACATTGGTAACGTTTATAAACCTAATAATTAACATTTTATATGACACTGAGAAACGACGTCACAGTGAGTTACAGGGTGAAATAAAACATTGGCTGTGTTTGTTTAGCACTGTTAGTTAGCAGCAAAGCTATCGCTAACTAGGCTGTATTCAAGCTAATGCTAAACTTCAGCCATAGGACACTTAGAGCAGCATGTCCCATTGTCATGGCAACAATTTGGGTTCCATAAATTTCTGTAACATTCGCTTTTCAATTTTTAATTTTTTATAAAACTGTATTTTATTCAGAGCTTCATGCCGAGCTTTACACACCCACAAACCCCTGCTTCACCCGCACCAGCTGTAGGCTGTACCATATGGTCATGCGCCCCCTAGTGCCAACCTCCATGTACTTCAGTACCTTCGCTTCATCTCCCGCTGCTTTTCCTTTGGTTGTCATAAGGAAAAGGCTCTGCTAGCGTGTGGTGGGTTTGAAAGCTGGCGCTTTCTAGGGGTGTAACAATACATTATTTTGTATTCTATCATATTGTACTGCACTGCTTGAAACAAGGTTTCTCTAATGTAAACGCCTGGAGCACCAAATATACAATCAACAGACTGCAGCATGTAGAGCACTCGCACTAAAATACTGTTTACCTGGTCTGAGGTTTTGTTTGTGGTTAGCATATTAGCGTGAGGCTGGACTACAGACCTGAAGGCCTGCATTGTTCTCTAATCAGTGTCATGTTTCTCTCTAAGGGAAAAAGGAAGAGCATTTTCGAAAATCACTGCTGTCGTTTCCTGCAGTGAACAAAAATGTTCCAAACGTGATACATTTCGTCTAAGAATATCTCTCGATCGTCTGACTTTCAAGATCATTTAGCAGTCCAAGTAAGAATAATGCTACATACACACTACAAACAGATTTATGCATATTAAAATAACGTCGCATGAAAGTAAGTTAAGCAGTAGAACACAGAGGGAGTGTGTTATAGTGAAATAACATCACGGCTGTGATTTGGTCGCCGTAGATCATCACAGCCGTGATGTTATTGGCGATAACACACTCCTCGAGTGTTCTACTGCTTTAATACAACAGTTAAATAAATACAGTAATAAATTAATAAACTGGGCCGTGAACGCGGCGTTTAATATGTTTTAATGTTCGCAGTTCCTTCACCAAATTATAGTTCCTTAACGAGCAGCTTGTTGCTACGTCAGAGTAACGAGCCCCGCCCACTCACTGCACAGCCGGCAGTTCGTTCTCCAGCTCCCTACACTAAATTCCCAAACTGTCATCACCACTGAGCAGCTTTTCAGTCGCCAAACGTGTAGTCTGATCTTCAGAGTCTGACCAAATCAGACTGAGCCATAAAACTGCTGCAATATCAAGTTTAGCTCAGTTTTGTCAGTTTTTGCCAGATCAGTATTAATGTTGTTTTGTTCCAGCCAGTCTGTAAAGCATCTTACAGCCCATTTAGTTTGGCGAATGGTGTTGGGTTCATTTCTGGCTGATTCCAGGTTGTTTAGTTGTTCTTCTGTCACAGCTGCCGACTGAAAAGCTGCTCAGTGGTGATGACAGTTTGGGAATTTAGTGTCGTCTCATCTTCAGAGTCTGACCAAATCGGCTGTCGGTCAAATGTGATCTTAAAAGTGTCCGTTTTCTGTTTTCTGACTTGAGCGTCTCCTACAGCTGTCAAAGTCGTTGCTTAGCAACGACGTCTCAGCGGAGTGATACAGTGTTTGTGGAAAAAAAAGTGATGTTATGGTGAAATAACAGCACAGTTAGAACGCTTCTCAACCAATCAGATTGCGTGGCCGGAACTACCTGTTGTATAATAGCTAATATACACCAACAGCAGCTACTCAGACTGCAGCCTAAAACTGCCAAAGCCTCCTAACTACCAACTGGACAAAACCTGCCAGGCTTATGATGTCAGTTCAGTGTGCAGCAGTGTTAGCTTGCATATAGTAACATATTCATATTTCGTAACTCCTTAACGATCTCAGAATTTAGAATCCAGGGAAGCTGGGTGGAAAACATCAGCTTTAAAACATTTTTGTTAACCAGTGTTTGACACCTCTGATTTTCAAAAACGCTGTTCATTTTTCCCTTAGAGAAATCAGGATAGACTCTGAGTCATATATTACCAGGTCTATAATCTCAAGGTCCTATATACCCAGGACCTTATAATCCAAGGGTGCCATAATCTCAGTATTCTGTATTCCCAAAATCCTATATTTCCACTGTCCCTGGGTTTTACATTTCCAGGGTTTTATAATCCCAGGGTCCTATTTTCCCAAGACATTATTATTGCAGGGTGCTGTAATCTCAGCATTCTGTGTTCCCAGGGTCCTATAGTTCCATTGCCCAATATTCCCACCATCCTCTATATTCCCAGGGCCCTATAATACCAGGGACCTGTATTCCCCGGGTTATATAATCAGAGGGTCCTATATTCCCAGGTCTGTAATCTCATGTTGAATGTTAAATTTTCAGTAAATTTTCAGCAGCTGTTTGTGACGCCCTTGTCACCTCAATCTCACCATTTCCCCCATGTTTGTTTATTCTGCTAACTCGCTAGTTAGCAAGCTAACGGCTACACAACTAGCAGTAACAATAAAAGAAAAGCAGTGCAGCCAGAATCAAACCAGACAACGCAGCACCTCGTATATTTTGGTTTGTCCATCTGAATTTTCATGACCAAATCGTAAGACAAATTATTCAGTAACTGCGTGAAATAAATGTAATAAATGTACATTTTTATTTTATTTATTTTTTGTAAAAGCCCCCTCAAATGAACAGAACATGTGTTTTATGATCACACTTATTGCTATATGCTTACAATTTACTGCTGAAAGCCAAAAATCTTAGACGCTCTTTGTATTATAAAAATAATGTTTACAGAGCAGATCACTGAAGAGACGCCATCTGTTTATAGTTTACAGACCAGATTTGTGGAAAAATGGGTCGACTTTCAGTAGAAAGAGTTCAGCTTCTTTTATTATAAGGGTTTAAAATTACATCACCATCTATTTGACTAGAAAGAAGACAGTTACAGCCTCATACGACCCCCACCTTTAGAATGTAGCTTATGAAATATGAAAGTTATGAAGAATATGACGAAGTGCGTTTGGAACCACCGGTGGTCTCAAGGAGCTGAAGAGGTTAAAAGGATTATGTACTTTACACTCCTGGGTTCTCAAAAAGTGCTTTGAAGTAAGTTTGCTTAGCTAGCTAATTAGCACCCTGAGGCTAGCCTAGCTGAGGCGAAGTGCATTTCTATTGAAAAATTGGCTCTTGCTTTTCCCTGTATGACCTTTGGTGACCCTGGGGAACATGGGATCCCTTGTATAGGTTCTGTTTAATGTATCACAGAGAGGTATGCTGCATCAAACAAAGAGCTAATCACAGAACCGTGAGAACATTTTGCGGCACTTGTACTTCTTGCAGTATCGAAAAGTAAAGTAACGTATCGTATCAAACAGAACCGTGAACTTTGTGAATCGTTACACCCCTAACGCTCTCGTAGCCTGGCAGGAGCCAGTTCCATCTCTCTCTGCTAGGAGCCCGACTGCTGTTAGCGCCCGTCGTTCTGCCTCAAATCACAGAAATGTTGCTGCAGTGTGGAGGTTTCCTTCAGACTGAGAGAGAGAGAGAGAGAGAGAGAGAGAGAGAGAGACGGCACTGAGAGCTACGTATGTGTGTGTGTTACAGAAACGGGAACAGCAGCACGTCCAGCCTCGGCGTGGCTGACCTGGAGGGCCTTCCAGAATGCTCCGTCTCCACTGGGCTAATCAGGTAGCTAACAGTACACGCTAACTGCTTTTCCATCCAGCCTGCAGCGCTGGGGTTAATGGAGGTTAAGCTTCCTCTCCAAGTCCGGAGTAACGTCCAAATGCCTTATTCCACTCTTCCACTCATAAACAGATGAGCGCCTGAGACAGGCCAGTCACATGGAGTTAGCTTATAGGCCAGCGCTAAACACAGCCATTAGGTCAGACAGGACAATGAAGGCCTTTTCATCCAGTGGTTCTGAACCTCTCTGGTCTTATGAACCTCAAGAGACCTTCAAAGGATCAATATGTATATTTACTGTACTATATCATAAAATAACCATCATGTTTTATCACAGATTCAGAAAACATGCTAATCTGAAACACTGGCTCCTCCAACAGCTGCGCTACAGCCAGCATGTTCCCCTTTTAATTTTCTGTCCCGGAGCAGAAAGTCTGTTTGAGTTTTGGCCTTTGATCCCGCCCACTGCCCTTTTCCCAGTACCGTTTAGACACCCCGGGTTACCAGATAAGAAACAAATTAGCTAACAAACACAGCTGCAACCATAGAATCAAGCAACCGAACTGGATCAACAGAGATATTATTAGATTCTACCCAAACTAAAGAGCCTCGGCATCCTTCTAAAAAGCTCCATGAGATCAGAGATGCAGTAAAACGCAGCATCGAGTAAATATTGGCGACGCGTTTGAGAGATGGAGGCGGCTCAGAGCCCAGAAGGACTTTAAATCAGATGCCATGTTGGCTAATTTTCTCCTGAACAGGTCAGCACTGAGCTAAAGCTAAGATTAGCTAACCTTAACTAATTTATCACGGCTGCTAGCAGGGACGGGAATTTTAATCCTCTAAGGTTGATGATGTCGTGTGCAACTTCAAAGGACTACGTAGATAAAAGAATAAATATTCGTATACGCTGTATGCTAGTGACGTACTTTCATTTTGCGCTGAAGAGGAGTGTTGTTCCAGTGACGAATCTGGGGCGCAGCCTCTGATTGGTCAACAGACTCGACTCAAGGCGTCAGTGGGCGGCTAACAGCCCTGCTAACAACAACAACTCTTTTCAACATAGAAATCACAGAAGACTTTCAGTATCGGATTTGACTTTATGGATTTTACAAACCGTGTGTCTCAGTTCAGGGCTGCGTCCTTCAGAGGCTGCATTTGAAGGCCAGTTGCGTCACAGCGGCGCAACTAGACTGTCCCATTTCGAAGCTCCTTCATATGCGGCCGAGAAATGTGTCCTCCTTTTCCATGGCAACGCAGGATCTTACAGGTGCATCCTTCGCCAGCCAACATATCCCAAGGTTCAGTGCGTGCCGGCAGGGATTCGAAAACATGACGGCATCAACAGATGAGCAAACGGCAGTTAAAGAGACACTTTTAAATATAAGTTAAATATATTCATATATAAGTATTGGGTTTAAACTGAGGCGAACGGCTAACGATACAAATGTAAAACAAAAAAACAAAAAAATCTCGTCAGTAGCCGCCGGTGAAGCATCTCCAGCTCTAATAAATGGAAAAATAAACAGCTAAAAGTTTCTGGCTCCGTTTTAAAGAAATTTAAAAGAACTTGACAGGAGCGACGTTTCGTGGCGCAGTGGTGAGGGTGGGCACAGCGGTGCTGTGACACAAACAGGAAATCCGCCGTAGAGCAGACTGTCTCATTATGGTCCAGCCCAGAGAACTTGTAGTGAGGAGAATTATCACTCTGCAATGTCTTCTGGGTTTCTCAGGCGCTAGAGGGC